AAGAAGGAACAAGAAACATAGCATGGAAAAGAGTAAGAATAAATCAGTTAAAGGCTTTATCAAGGATAAAAAGAAGAAGGATATAGAAGAGATGATCGTTGTAAAATAGAAACAGTTGATTGAGAATGTAGGGTAAAAAACGAAATTTATGGAAAGTTGGCGAGATGATGACGGTGGGTGCTGCCACCTGCGTGGAGGGCGTGGCGCTAGTTCTATCGGAGTTTAGTTTAACGAGAGCTTTGGCACGCGTCGCACAACTCTGGAGCAGCACTCGTGTCGCTTCGGCCAGCCGCGTGAGAGTGAGAGAGAGAGGGTGGGAGGAGCGCGAGAGGTGAACGATGGTGAAGGAAGAGAGAGGTGAGAAACGGTGAACGCGAGCAAGATAGAGAGAAAGGACAACGACGAGAAGACCAAGGGGAATACGAGACGGAAAAGGACAGATTTATAGAGCGGATTGAGTATATACGATAAGAAGCAGTGAGACGGGTGTATGAGTGTAGAGGAGAAGAGGATTGACGACGACGATGAGGAAAGAAAAGTAATGAACGCGAAGATGAATGAAGAACCATTCGGATGCAGTTGATATTGCGGCGATGAGGAAGGTTCCCGAGTGGAGGACGCGGTACGCGTTGGCGCCGCCAGAACGAAGGATAGCAGATTTGAAATCACAGTGCTGATCGTAGAGACGAGGAAAGCACAGAAGCGGCAGTGACCATGGCGCCCCTGCTCGCATGTAAACAGTGCTTCATGCTCGATGCACGCTTCGAGAATAACGTACCTAGTGCCAGCATTCTTACGGAGAATAAACATAGTTATAGTGGTTGTCACCGTAATCGTTATCGTTACTTCTCACGTTCCAGTCGATTTCCCCGAATCCGATGAACAACCATCGAAATCGCAATCGAGAAGTTGCCGAAAATATCGCAGACGTCCTGAGGCAAGACGGTATGGACGGTAGAGACGAGTCATGATCCTCGTCCTGCCGCGTCACCGTTATCCTCATCCTCGTCCTCGCCGTCGTCGTGGTGGTTGTCGTCGCCGCCGCCGCCGCGCGAAACCGTGCTCCGGTCGTTTGTGTTTGTTGATTCGTCGTCGATGCGTCGAACGTGTGTGCGCGTGCAAGACGCTGAACCGAACTTACGAACGACGGTTAAACGTGATTGATGCGTGACGCATTCAACTGATACCTAACAAGTGGTAACGAATCCGAGAAACAAGTACGTTTTTTTCCTCGACTTACTTTTTTCTTTTCTTTCCTGTGTATCTTTTACGAGATTTTCATTCGTGTTTGCTTATTTTCTTCGCATTCAGTGATAATCGAATAGTGATCGGAGTACAAAAAAGAAGCACATATAACCTAAACGAACATGTACCGTGAGAATAGCGCAAGAATAACGGTGTTATAACAAATATCATCAAATTTTACACGTGTGCAAATTCATCTTCAACCTTGAACCGTTATTCGTGCAAAGAAATTGTCTTGACCTTTTTCTTTTTTGAGAATTGGAATTGATCCGACACGCAAGAGTGAACATAGTCTGTTGCATCAATCGTAAGTGATTCTTATATTTTTTATCGACGTTTTATATTCTATCGTACTTTCCTCGAAACTCACACTAAGAAGGTTATTTGCTGTTAATAATCCTGTGTCGCATTGATTTTTGACAGAGATGTTTCTGTGGACGATCTTGTCGAGACAGATAAAACGAAATATCGTTATTAATGCTAAAATATTTTAATAATTTTATCGGTGAATTGAGGTTATTTTGATCAAACCAACTAGCTTATTTTCTAACGTATAACTTTTAAAATTTAACGACTTTCAACGACATAATTTCAACATCTAATTTTATAAATATTTTTTGGTATATATTTTTTTTATTTTTATTTAACAATAAGATTTTTCAATGAACTTTAATAGAAGAGTATAAATGAATATATAAAAATGCAGTGTTTTTAATAATTTCATTTAAAAGAAACGTAAAACGAATTTTACTTGTTTTATATTTTTTTCTCGTATATCGCAACTTCTTTTTGTGCTAATTTCAGAAATCTCTTGAAATTGCCGACCATTTTCAAATGAGTTCACAGCGTATCGAGAATCACAATTGCGAGGTTCGATACTCGAATCGAATAGACAGGTGGCTCTGTGCAAATCCTTCGTAGACTTTCTTCAATGTGATTTCGATCTTCTTATTTTATTCGATGTTTTATAAATCTGTGATTAGATAACGAAATTTGATATGCCACTTTTTCGTTAAAATTGATATATGGTATATATTTTTTTTTCACGTATTTTTTTTATATATAATAATATTATTATAATTTAAAATTTATTAGTTTGCAAAAAAATATTCGTTTATGAATAGTTTGAAAAAAAATTGGGGAGAATATATGTAAGCTTTTTTAAAAATATCGTGATGATATTACATAGTTGAACATGAATTTCAGAATCACTGTATTGTAAAATTAAAAAATTGTGATAAATCAATTTTGCCATAACAATCTTTTTTTATATGATTCAAAATGATTCAAATAATTGATTTTGTCATTTCTGATAGATTTGATTTTGAAATCTAAGTTTTATAAATTGCATGATTGGAAACAAATTCGGACGTTTCATTTTGCGATAATTTTATATTCTTGTATATATTTCATAATAATTCATCGTGATTTTTTTTATTGGTAATTTTAATATCGGTAAGTTATTCAAGTTACAAACTATTCGGATTAAAAATGAATTTTTCCTTTGATAAGCAAATTAATTTTTTTATTTATTTTTCCAACTGAAAATTCACGAGAATTATAAAAATTAATTATAACGCATAATTCCGTATATTTAATGGTTAATTAATTTAATTAAATATTTTCTCCGATCAAGTTAAAATATTTAAATTGACTACACGGAACAAAATGCGAGACGATTGGAAGATCGCGTATTGAAATTTCGTTTTTAAAATTTATGATAAAAGAATATATAGGATCGTGGCACATTTACGAAGATTTATTTTTGCTGAATTAGACGGTTAAACTTCCGATTGGGAGGCATAAATCCTAAAAGCTGACCGATCGATCGCGGCTGATAAAAGTCTCAGTCGCAAGACTTGGCGAGCTTCGGTAGCCCGAGTTGAGAGTTTTCGAGTTAAAATTATTAGCTTTCGACTTTCTCTACCGTGTCGATCTTCGGAAACTTTCCGGATGCTAGTTGCTTTCGACTCTATCCGTCGACTTCTTTTTCGTTGTAAAGGGAATCGATACGCTCGACGTCTCGACGCATCTTTCCAACTGTTCAGAGACTAGAGATATTCCGTGAAACTTGGAGAAAATTGTTGAAACTTTGTAAATGGATGTTTTGTCCTTAGATGAGAGAGATTAGGACGTGTCTGCCTGAAAAGTTTGATACTTGAGGATTATAGTTGATAGATACGAGGATCTCTTTCGGAAAATTGTTAAAATTGAGTCAAGAGTTTCCAATAAATTGTTGGATACGTATCGGTTTTCTCTACCGAGAGTTCTCACGAATTGAAAATTTTTAAATCAATTTTTTCTCAATCGAAACATATTTTACTTTATCTCTCTTTTCTCGAGAAATATGTCGATTAAATTGTTCAATCTCTGTCAATCTTTATCGGTGAATATCATTGATATAAATCTATAATGTAAAAAAGTTGAGCAAATGTAGACAGATAACGTCGATAAAATATCGTATCATTAATATTTATCAATTACAATTAAGATATCTCGTATGAAGACAAATCTATGTGTAATGTCTAAATTTACACGATTAAAATCAAATATGAAGATTTGGATTATTTTAGTCGGAATAAATGAATGTTGAATTAAGAGAACGTGTAAAATGTACGTTTTTTTTTTTTTTTTTTTAATTCGATGAACAATTATTTAACCGACTCTCTGATCGTTCTGTGATGTTTCAGACGAATCTGGGGCCCGTTCGTGTTACGAAACGAGCCGCGAAATTCAGTGACTCGCACGCTTACGATAGAAAGAACGTGGTTCGTGCGAGTGTTAACACGCGAACGATCGATAAGGAGAATCGATCCGATCGTTGGGCAGTGAGGCAAGTCGATTGCAATGGTGTTGCACGAAGTGATGATCTTCTGCGTGATCGAATTCGGAAGAAACTCAACACCTCTGTGTTGCCCCCTGCTATTCACTCATACGTACAGAAGACTGAGGTGTATTATTCCGCACTCCAAACAACATATCGCTTATCCACCATAAGGTGAGTCATTTCTATTCATATATTTATTATATAATGAAAATTATCTCGGTACATTAATTCTCTTTTACAATTATATGTTATTATGTTATTATGATTGAATTATTACAATTTCGAGATTGTATATATCTAATTTCTGTCGATATAAAAAATTCGATCATGGTTTCAATGAACCAAGCTTCATCGTAATCGCGATTAAATTTCGATGGGTTAACGATTTTGTAAATTATATGTTACATATTTTTTCCATAGCGAAATCTTAATAGAAAGCCAATCGCTAATCGTATCAGTCGCAATAAAATTTGTTCATTCATGAGAACACGAGACGCGTTATTTTCGACAAAGGACGAATTCCTTTCGTTTTCTCTTTGTCTTCGTGATTTGTACCGTTAACTCGCAGAAATGCGTCGCGCGGTTATTTCCATCGATTTTTAAAACAAAGTAGCGTATCTCATGGAGCTCTAGAAAAGTCGAGGTCACGAGTTAGCCATTAAAAAATTAATTGTAGCATGCAATCTTAGCGTATTACCATTTACCTGTTGCGTGCTCGTGTCGACGTGTAAAAAGACGCGATGCGAATTGACTCGCGTTATCAACTGGGGATAAAATTATATAGCAGAAGAAAAATTTTTCGCAGATTAAAGATACGTTTAAGAAAAAATTGAAATTCAATTCTCGGCATTATTTCTTTATTTTAGTAATTGGTATTTTATGCTAATAATGTGGGACAATTTGTGTGCCGATAAAAAGATGGTGTAGGCAATAATTAATAATCAAGAATTATGAAAGAATTATAATCGACGAGTGATTAAAGTTCGAATTAACGCATCATTAAATTTGCAGTATAATGATAGATATAGTAGATCCGCAATTATAATATTCCGCTTTTGAACGATTTTCTTTTCTCGAACAAAAGGGGATTCTGGTGGATCGAATCCAGTATCGTACCAGTCCCACGGACGACGAAGCTCTGAGGTAGACGTGTCTAAAAGAAGTTCCGTGGGTCGACCAATCGAACGATATTTGTTAATCGTTGCAACGCCATTATGGGACAAACAACGCAGTTTACTCGGTTAACATCGTTTGCGCGGAAGTAATGTTTGCTTTCGTCAGCGACCCTTGCTTTAAACGAGATTATAGGCCGCAAAGGCGAGCTTTTATTTTTACCCTTATTCGTTCCGCAGATCGTGATCCGGCTAATAAACGTTTTCCGGATGCTATTCCAACCCTTTCTCGCGTGTACACTAAAAACCTGTGACATTTTTCCCCTAGGCGCGAAGCGTCCTATTTGTGTACACACATGTCCGTGTCATAAGTTTACCTTGTCTTTTCGTTGCATGAATTTTACAAGAGTTTTCCTATTTCTATCCTTCGAACAGAATTCGAGATGGACATTTTTCGAAAAAAGAGAAAAGAAACAACAACGAACGATACTTTTTACGATAAATATAGAATGTTTCTTATCTATAATAGAAAAGTAACAGATATTCTTCCCAAAAGATCGCTATCCTAACGTGATCGCTGATCTTTGCAACTTACATCCAAAGTCATCGGATTTCATTATCCGTACACGTTCTCCCAGTGAATGAATCTTTGTGGAAATTCTGTTTTCTCGAATAAAAGGTTAGGTAGCTTTCGAAGGAACGACACAATTCGCGATCGAGCCTTTACAGAAACAGAAATATGAAGTATAAAGTCGATGTTTTATGACGTATGGATGAAAATTTGAGAAAAACTCAAAGCCAACTTTTCTCTCTTCGTTTGATTAAATTTTCAATCCATTGAAACTTTCTCGTACGTTGAAATAATTTATATATTTTATTCAACGATTTATATATTCAACGATTTGACTCTTTCTTTAACTTTTCGTCGAATAAATACGAAACGAACAACACGAATGTATAAACGAATGTATAAAACATCGAGTTTGATATTGGAAACTCAATATTTTTATACGTATGTGTTGTTTCATCACGTATTCGCAAAATTTTGAAATTATGTTGTTTTTTTCTTTTTTTATATTTACACTTCTTCACCACACGTTTCTTCCCTCTTCTTTTCTACTCTACTAGTTGCCAAGTTTCGCGTAATATTTCCAGTTATATAATGATATTGACGATCTAAGGCCGTTAACGATGTCTCGCATATATATATATAGGCGACATATTGCACAACGGAATTATCACCGAATAATTATTGCACGTGACATTTGCATATACGCGCCACTCGGATCGCAGTTATTTTCGTTATTGTTCGCTGAATGTAATGTTGTTTCTAAACAATTGGTTTCCATTAGAATTGCGCGTCTCCACCCGCTTATATATCGCGCTCGACGGAGCACAGGATGATTAGCAGCTTGCTTTCTATCCACTGTTTTAATCGTCATTTATGTTCATTCTATTCCATTAACCATGCGTGATTATTCTTTTTCGACGCGTCATGTTTATCGACGTATTTCTTTCGAAAAGAATCGTGTACGATTCGAACAAGGATAAGAAGTATCGTTTTAACGAGATAGATGAAAATTGATATCCTCCCGAACGAAACGAACATTTTATTGGATTTCTCGTTTCGCGATTATTTTTCCGATGAAATTATTTTTTTTTTTTTTTTTCCGAAAATTGTTACCCTTCTTTTATATCAAATGTAAATATTCGAGTAAACAATGATTCATTTATTCGTTTCAATTTGTTCGGTTTTAATTGTTGCGGATGTGGAGAAAAAGAAGGAAACGAAGTCGCCGAAGGGGAATTGTATTTTTGCACCGAAACACTAGTTTCGTTTAATTACTTTTACTTTTCTCCCTCAAAGAGTTGGCAAAATGTCAAAAACTTTTTGTCCTTTCAGTCCATGCATCGTTCCACCATTTAGTTATATTTTTGTTGCAATTTTTTTCTTGCACGGGTTTTAAACATATTGTACGCGTGCTCGAAATATTTATCTATATGGAGAGAAATATAAGATTTTTTTCTTCCTTTTTTATTCGAAATTTTTTTAAGACAATGTAATTTAACGATAACGTCTTTACAATGTTTCCTATCTTTTAATTCATCATCCATATCGATATCGTATACATATTGTTAAAATATTCGTCAAATTGAATGTAAAATGTACATACGCGATTCGGTTGATTTAGGTTTTTCATGAAAATCGAATCGTTGAATTAACGAACAATCGTATTCACGACATTGATCGTTCGAGCTTAAATAATTATGAGACATTACGTAGAAAATGCATCATTATCGAGAATACGTGTCGATGAAATCTAATCAAACCGAGGAAGGGAGCATTTTCCATGAATTCGAATTTAGCGCGCGAATTTCCAGAAACTTAAAACGCTCTGATATTTTTCTTCGTTTTCGTAAACCGATACGAAATGATACGAGTTCATCGAATATTTTGACAATTATACGAATCGCAATTATTATTCGATACATTTTTTTTTTTTTGTAGAATTAATTCAAAAAATCCTGATATTTCCTTGTTCGCGAGTATTATTATTCTTTTTTTTCACGATATAAAACAGATCGAGATTTTTATTTTACTTTACCAACGATACTCGTCACGATGTTGTAACGATCTCGTGTATTCGAACATATCTTGTTTAACTTTGAAGTTTCATCGTCGAATGAAATTTTTTTGTCGCGTTAAAGAGGGTGCGTTCGCACGATATTTTCCCTATGTCTTAGAAGATGTTATCACAATGCACGACAGAAGCCTTTGTTTCACTTTTGACCCCTTCCATCTTGGTTGCTACTTGGACGGTTTTGGAATTTTTATAGCTTAAAGGAGAACATTCCGACGCTATGCATGTTTCGCGTCTTATCTTTCAGGATTTTTTAATAAAATTTGACGATAAATAGGATAAAGTAATCTGTTCCTTTCTTCAAAATGATAAAAACATCTAATTAATTATAGTTTTAACGTTCGTTTAAACGTACTTCTCGCGTAAAATCTTGCATCTGACTTTCGTAACGATCTTAATTCGGAGAAAATGTTTAATTATTAAACGATTAAATCGATTCTCATCGTAGTTTGTTGACCGATTCTATACTCGTTTGGACGAAGAATATAAATTCTTGAGTCGGCATTAACATTTGAATATATTTATTTGAAGAAAAGGGATGGAATTTTAATCGTGAGCTAGTTTATTCTCTCATATTTATGCGATTGATTCGAGGGTGAAAAAACATGGAATAGCGGAATTTTCACTTTCATTTTTCCAGTACACGATATTGAAATTGCAATTTTCGTTTTCTTTCTTCGATGCCATTGTTTTACAGGGAAACTCTTTGCTGCTTCGAATGCTACAAACATGTGTGCTTACGTAATTCTATTTCTAACAAAATTGAGTATAACATTCGTCAGAACTTTTTTTAACCGTATTTTCATCGTATTTATACACGTATGTATATATATATTTCTCTTTTTCGTACAATTTAGTTCGATGTTGGCGATTAAGTCGCAAAAATAATATTTTATCGAATGATTTTGTTTAAAAAGAAAAGAATCTAATTTTATAAATCGGAGTTTGATTTGTGATTTTTCGTTATCTGATATAACGTTATTTTATGCCAGCGTTAATAAATTTGTTCGAGCAGTATTACTTAAAAGTTTGCATCGCAGAAGATCGATCCACGAGCTGTTAATCTTCCAACATCGTACATCTTTAATGCGTTATCACGTTATCACGCATACATATATCCCTTGTCTATAACTATAATGCGAGTTACCAAAAAATTCCTACATATTTAACGATAACGCTTTTTGTAATCAACACTTTTATCGATATACGATTACAATTGATAATTATAATGAATAATTGAAATACCGTACACGTAACGAATCATGGAACGAGCGTTAGAAGAAATACAATTCGTCTGACATTTGTAAAATCGTAGGTAGGATGTCGTTTCGATGTCCGATTCGCGGATATATCGGGGATAGCCAGGCTTTGTTTTCGTTGTTGCGGGTTTGATAATTCGGTGTGCGGGCTCGTTAAC